CCACTCGAAGGTCTGGACGCGCCCACAGATCAAGGGTTTCGGACGTGCCCCTTCCCGTGAAGACACGAGAATGGTCACGTTCCTAGCCCAACTGAAAGGCGCGCCACGACCTTTCCAGGGAACCCTCTGGTCTCGTCGCGCACAAACCTGGGACCCATCCTCATTGTCCGAGAATTTCTTTCCCGACAGGCTATGTCTTAGGTGGAGGTCAACAATAACCTCCGCCAATCCCTCCACCGGCCCTCTCTTCACCCACAGATACACAATGAAGGGAGGCCACAGGTCACGAGGGTACTCGTTAGGACCGGGAGCACCCAGACAGGGAGGCATACGATCCCTCCCACAGTCCAGGTGCTGCGGTCCAACCTGTCGCACATCCCTTACAAACTGCACCGTGGATTCCATGAGGGCAGGCAGATCCATTCCTCCGGAGACGCCCCCCACACCAGCAGCACCACCCGCATCGGTTTTACCCGATGAGGCAGCACCACCGAAGGCAGTGGGCGCAGCCGGAGGACTGGCAGGCTTCGGTTTCGTTATTGTTGAGGCCACATTAGTATCAGGAGCGTCCATAAACTCTGCTTCGCCCCTGACTATGGCCAGCACATCTCCTGGCACCGGTGAATCTGGTGTCGCTGGTCTCGGTGGGACAACATAGTCTACCTGGTCCGGGAGGTCATTGAATGCCTGGGTGTTCATTGTAGCATGTAGGGCATCTTCGAGATCTCGTTGTCGCCTGTATCGGTCTACCTGCTCCTGAGTATACATCGGGGGTTCAGGAAACACCACATTGGTCGTTGTTACTCCGACTGAACTGTTGGGAAGACGATAGCGGAGATTCATTTCCAGGATTACGTTTGGCAACCGGGGAATGACCACAGCACAGGGTTTAATTGTGACACCTGGTGGTTTCGTTATCATCTTCTTCTCGGTGACGTCTAGAATGGAGCTGTTCTCTCGGCTGACGTCGTGTTGTTGACCGGGAGAACGTGACGAAAATCCGATTCGACTCTCTCTGTTGTAGTCGAAGGAGTAGCAGAGGCTCCGATTGCTGCCTGGGCTGCTTCTAACCGGTTCTTTTCCTTTTGTTCCTGCCACCTTTCGAATGGGTTTTGAGATTGTACCCATACGGTTCTTCTTTAGGCAGCGGAGTAGGTGTTAGGCTGTCTCGTATTTTGCCTTCAGCTCTCTCCTTAGCGCTCCGTGAGCGTTTGGAAGCACTAGAGGAGCCACCATCAGATGACGCAGATGCCGGTGTGACCGTCGGAGTTCTGTCGGATTCGGACGGGCGCTTTGATGACGAGTTGGACCTCGATTTCGATGAAGAGCGAGACGAGTCTTTTGACGACTTCGGCTTTGGAACTGGCGTGGTATTCATAGACGGAATACGTGCCAGAGCGGAGTGTCAGTCACCGAAGTTGTTGAAGCAGTCTTTGAGATCGTCGAGACCGTGGTTGTAGCACGAGGCCTGTGATCTACCGGGACGACGGGCAGTACGTGTCGTCCAGCAGCAGGCTGCTTGACGGGCGTGTGCTCCAGCACATATTGATTGTTTGGAGCAACGATGTTAGCAGACTCGCAGATCACTTCATTAAGGCTTGTTGTTTTCGCAACCTTTCATTGACGATGGCCTCCAGTTGACGCTGAGCATCGGCTCTGTCTCGACGCTCTTGGGCTAACTCGTTCATTCGTTGCTCGGCAGCCTGGCGTGCAGCTCGTCGTCTCGCCTCCAATTCGTCTCGGTCAACTGCAGATTCGACAGTGATGGACTGTTTTTCTTCTCGGTTCTCCGGAACCTGGATGGTCTCGTAACGCCCATCATCATCGGACTCGAACTCCGAAACCTCCGGTTCATATCGGTCATCATTGTCATCGTTCTCGTTAACAGGGGACACCGGGAGTAACGGCGAGGCGGTTCCGTGGTCGAGTCGATCTCGTTAGACGTTCTAGATGGTCTAGAGGTGGTAGAGACCGTTGCAGTTGCGTTAGTGATTGACTGCTGGACAGTTGACGCCTGGACTGTCAACATGCTATATGGCATAGACGAATGGAGTTGGCTTGACGAGATCGGAATAGCCACTTTCGGAGCCGGACGATACACATACGATGGCAAACTCTGCGTTGGTTGTTGTGGTTGCGCCGTAGAACGATCAAATGATGACGGTGGCGGCATCTGGATCGGTGCCATCGAGCGTGGAGCAGGTCTCGGAACGTTAGGGTGACCTTGATATTGCAAGACCGCAAACCCTGGTGGTGTCGTTCTACGTTGAATCGCCTCCGGTCGTTGTTGATTGGGTGGAGTCGCGGCGAACGATGGTGGCGGATATAGACGGTTTCGGACATTTACAGATGGTGCCATATCCGGGTGACGCTCGTGTAGGGTCATTTCCATCTCGATAGCCAAGCGCTCGAGATCCGTCGGTACTGCTGCTATGGGAGACAGATACAGCATCTGGGTCCGTACCTCTGACATGTATGAGATCAGTTCGTCGTCGTGGTGGTTGGACAGCGGCTGTAGCACTGCATACTGGTCGTCGTGTTATTCAGGTCAGCCATGGCGCTGATCAGACGACTGGCGGCCTCTCGAAGACGATTCTTCAAATGGGCGTTAGGATCCATGATCGACGTGCTGTGAATGAATACAAAAGACATAGTAATGTAAATATTCGGTACCAGTTCCTTATGCCTAATACTCGTTATTCCTAAACTTTTCGAAATTTGATCCTTGATGGATTCTTTTTATCACATAACGTTGTGATGTTCTCATAGAACATTATGAAGCAATTAGTTACCAAAATCTTTTATTTTCCAATCTAGTCAAAATCTAGTCATTTTAAAATCAGGACAACGTTGTCCGATATGCGTAGATCGTTTAACTATGAAAACTTTTTTTTTTTTTTTCTTAAATTTTATTTCCTCGAAAACCTAAAGATCCCATATTAAAACCATAAGTTGATCCCTGTGTCGTGTTCGTTGATTTTTAGCACGAAAATAAATACAATTCTTTGTACCGTTTCGACTAAAGAAATATTTAAAATTCTTCTGGTTATAGGAATAGCATCAAAAATCACTTATTCGTGTGTCAATTACGTTAATTCAAACTAAAATAATAAATAATATCTTGTCTCATAAAGACTTGAATAAAAAAATAGAAGTTTACCTTGCGG